TATTATAATTTTACTCGATGCACCATAATTTTGAGAAGACTTTATCCAATTTTAGGTACATTACTGAACAGTTGTTCCTGATACATTTAACCTTTAATTGAAAAAAAAACAAAACAAAAAATGAAAAAACGAGTGAGATTTGCTTCTCAGATATAAAAGATCTATCAAGATTCCGATTTCTTTACACTAAGACAGGGAGAGGTTTCTGAATTTTTTTTTTTTTTTAATAAAGGGTCTTACTCGGTCCATTTTTGATTATTAGTCCCTTTTAACAGCATAAACGCCTCTTTTTACTCACGCTGAAGCCAATGATTCCATAGGTTACTCACAAGAAGAAGATTATCTGACAGTCACTTTTAAAAATCTTTTGTACCGGTAAGAAGTTTCTAGTCCTCTTCCTTATCTGAAATCTCGTCTCCATCTCTACGGCATTGTTGACGTAATGCTCGTATATTCATCCTCCAAGGAGGCACTTACAACTCCATTCAGGAGATCGGCCTTACTAAAGGCTAATAGCCTGCTTAAATATCTAGCAATTTGGATAAATGAAAGTTATTCCTCCTTGGTGAACAAGTTTTCTCCATTTCCTAATCTTAGACCCTTCATTTTGGATAGCGCACATCCCCAGAGCAGCTCTTTGAGACGCTGCACTGTTATTAAGAACCTGGCCAATAACCAAGTGCTCGTAATTATGAACTTGGCCTTAAAATTCTCCTTGGTTGGTTACCAGGAAACACAGAGAAAATGGTTTGGGATTATGGGCAGGTCATTGCACGTTTCTGTCGCGGTCAACAAGCGCGCGGATGGTGAAGTTGAGGTAGAGCTTTAAGTCCGAGATGGTAATTGTAAAAACGCAGCAGAGGAAATTTTAAAATACGTCGATAGACTACGCCACTGTTGCAAAAAGACTCTTTCCAAAATATGAAGAGGTACAGGATGGTGGGCATCAAAGCTTTGAACAACTTTCCTTTGAATCTTTTGGGACGAGAGCTTGAAAAGTGTAAAATACAGAAAAGAGCTTTTTTTAAATGGGACAGTCTCAAAAACACAGTTCTCCACAATTTCCATCAGAAAAAAATATTTACTTATTTCCTGAGTGGGAGGGCCGGACGGAAAATATTTGAGTCGACGTCATGACGGACCAAGCGCAACGACGTCCGTGCGCCATGACCGAGTGCCAAATTTCTTCCCTTCCGGCTCAAACAAACTCAATCAAAACGAATTTCACTATATATGGCCACTAAGTGTCGAAAATTCGAAAATTTTTTTAAACCTCAATAGGACGCGATAGAGGGGCGCACGCAAAAACCACAAAAAAGCCACAAAAAACGATTCTACAATACATACTTTTTTTTTTAAGTTTTTGCAACAAAACTTAAAGGAAACAGCTTTTACTACGGTTTTCTATGGGATTCAGCCACCTAGCTAGTCATCTAAGGATGTTGGAAGGTTTCATGTGGCAGCATCTCAGCCCCAAGTTGCCATAACTGGTTGGCAAGGGACGTTAAACAACCCACGCACTTTACGTAAAGAGAAGGGGACGTAGCTCACGCTGTTGTGGTCTTGTCTTGATTCCGAAATTGGGGGCACTTGCAATACTTCCTTCCAATGTTTGTTGCTATACAATGTTGCTCATTGGAGATATTTGCGATTAAAAAACCCTAATTTTTTCCTTTTTTAACTGCTCTAAATTGGCAGAAGTTATATCAAATTACCCCAACTTTAAGGAATTGTTTCCTTAAGGTATCAAACAACCATTGGACAAAATAAGATTAAGATCCACGCATTCTGTTAGCGTGAGAGAGATCCGTTGGAAGGCATTCGATGTGGGGGCTCAAATACCCTAAGGATTAGCCGGGAGCCTGAACCACTGTGGATTCTTGAATAACTTAGTGACTCTCATAAGCTGTGAAAGTTTGAAAGAAATCGGTGAGATGACATGTGTCACGCCTAACTGGTCCTCTCGCGGACAGACTCTTAAAAGCCCATAGAAGCTTCAGCCCCGACGACATTTATCCAGGCAAGAACCTTTAAATGTAGCATTAACTCCCTAGCCTCACCCTTATACTCTTTGTTTAATAATTCATTCAAACTAGGTATCATTCCGAAAGCCGGGAATGTAGCTGCTTGTTTGTTTGTTTAATTTTTGAAAACAGCTCGGTGTTATTCTGCTTTCCATGAAAGGAGCCCAAATCAAATCGGAGAACTACAGACCTCTATTGTCAGTTAATTTTCAAGAGGATCGAAGGGAAGTCTAAGGCTAAGCCCAAGCAGTTGGTTTTATGAAAGAGTGTTCCTGCCTTCCAAAATTACTCAACACTTTCCCACAAAGAGCCCTGAACCAGGCTCTTGCGCAAGCCATTTAAAGTTTTGCGTTTGACCAGGGAGGGAGTTACTTCTATTCATTCTCGGCCAAATACAAACGGGAAATGAACCTTCATGTCCAAATAAAACGGATACGTGTATTCCAGTTCGTGTTCCCTTCATTAAGGCTTTGTTGACAGATTCAGTAAAAGCGAGGATTGAAAAAATTAAAAAACAACATTTATTACATTCGAATTCAACAGCAGTCCTTGTACATATTTAATGTCCTTGGTTAACATACTTCGCAGTTTAGTGTGGTTCTTTCCAAAATATAAAATATATATATGTAAAATATGAGATTTTGGAACCTTGAAATATTATCAATCAGACGACATTCTGAACTATTATAGTAAATTGAAAAAGAGATTATACATTATAAGGACTACGTAACCCGTAAGACACTTTCTTATCATTAGTATGTAATTTTAGAGTAATACATAACTCTGCTCTTCTTAAAATCATCAGCTAGGATGAAAAAAAATTACAAGTTAGAGTACAAGCTTTGCGTAAATGACTTACTAGGTAAAGTCCAAATAAACTCATTTGAACGAGTATACAACACCTACATTTGGCTTCGAAAACGAACAAGGCAGAACAAAACATTCCTTTTTGTTCAAGTGTATTGCAATTAAGCTTAAACATTATACCCTTGGAGTCTACCCACTAAAAATACGAAAGCCTCCAAATATTGAGGATATGTTGTTACTTATTACTTATTACTTATACGTCACTAATTCACGTAGACTTTTTAAAAGTTTTCTTTTAGAAAATAACGATATTCATTAAATAGGTTATCAAAATATAATTTAATATTTTTGGCATCTTTTTACAGCTAAATCACCAGTATAACCAATTCCCTGTAGCGCAAAACTTTTTGTTACAAAAGGTATAACATTATTGCCAACAGACCCGTTATACGAAATTGCAGCTGCATTTGTAGTCTATTTTTTTAAACAGTGGAGTTCGTTTATCGAATAATGAATGTTTCATAATCGTTTGAGTCATGATACCGAGTCATTTCTAAACTCTTGATCGCGATGTTTCGACTGCCTCACTGCTGGTCATTTTTAATACTCCGTTCAACAAGTGATAGTGACTAGAAGGTCAGTTATCTAATTAAGCACCTTGAACAGTAATCTCTAAGTTGTCATTTATAAAAATGGAATTTATTTCATGACAAGCGAAACGTAACAGGAGGAACCTGTCAGGTCTCTGTGACTCTGACTTGTTACTTGGTCTACTTTGTAGTTGAACGGGAAAGTTGTGCTCCTCTAACTTCCCAATCAGTACCAGTTAACATTTGAGACAAATATTTTTTGCCTTCATCAGTTACATTCCAATTTCCGTGGTAGTCTAAGCTCCGTAGTTTGCAGTTGGTATCAGTCAAGGCCTTACACAGGTGCTTGATTCCTTCATCTCCAAATTCGTTGCCGCTTACGTCTAAACTTGTTAATGTACAGAATCCGTTGGTTAAAACTTCAGACAATTCTTTGATTCCTCCATCTCCTAATCTAATAAAACTGATTTTCAATTTGGTTAACACACAGTTACTGCTGGTAAGTGCATCACACAAGTGTTTAATTCCGTTGTCTCCCCACCGAATGTGACTGGCGTTTAAGCTTGTTAATCTGCAGTTAACGCTGGTTAGCGCGTTACACAAGTGCATGATTCCTTCGTCTCCTAACCTATTGTCACTGACGTTTAAGCTGGTTAATGTACAGTCAATGCTGGTTAGTGCGTTACACAAGTATACCATTCCTTCGTCTCCC